TGCCGTAGTCGTTAGACCATTGACCTCGCATCCCTACAAAGCCGGGACGGAGCACGCCGGGTTCTCACCGGACCAGGCTCTCACATCACCAAGCGCGAAGCGCCGTGAGATATTCGGCGAGTCGCATGAAGGGTGCGCTGCATCCTGCGAAGGGTGTTCGGCATTTTGTTGTGCTTACTTCCTTGCATACGGATCACAGCTAGCTGCGTATGACATATTTATTTTCTGGTGCTTTCACTTCCAGAGACAGTTGTAAGCACTGTGTAACTGCCTCGAGGGTGCTTGACCATTTTAACACAACGTGGTGCGATCATCCCCCTTGCGCGGAGTGAGGTTCTCCACCCCGCAAAGTATGATCTACTCGACCACCATCATGGTTACCGCCCAAAAAAAAACAGAGGTAAAAAAAAAAACGGTAACCTGGTTGCCGAGTTCACGAAGTGAATAATCTTGTTTTACAACGTCGCTGCCAAGCGACGAAAACCCGACCCCGATGGGACATGAAAATAAATAAAAAGAAGAAAACAAGCCCTGTTCTCTACATAAGCTGAAAAAGTGTAGTACACGTCTCACCACGAAACATGAGGGGACTGCTGTCGCCATAATAAATAGTCTAGGACGAAAACACACACACTCTGATTGACTCACTCAAGAAGCTAGAGGAGAGCATCACCAAAGACAAGCTTGAAAAGGCTGTTGGGCAGTCATGGGCTGAACTTGCCACAAGTGATGAGCTAACCCCCGCCCTCAAAGGAGTTTACCTGTTGAAAGCATGGAAGGCGGCAAAACCCAGTGAAGATGGAAACCCTGACGTAGAACATCAACCACCGTCACCCTACAACCGAAATGAATTTGGTCAACACGACCAAGTCTTTGGAGCCCAAGCTCTCCTTTCGAAACCTTTTCATGCAGCAGTGCGTCACATGGTGGAGGCAGGCTTGCAGAAGGTAGCAGGCGAGGAAATGTCAAAGAAGAGAGCATTGATCCGCTTGGAGGAAGCGAAAGGCAAGGGAGTTTTGTCGTGGTTGACAACGCAAGGGCTGTCAGCAGATGACAGAATACTGCCTGATCTATATCGAGAGTCGATCGGTCGTGTACTGGGGAGTCACGATCGAGCAGACTGCGACACAGGCAAAATTTGTGGTGCAGGTACATTGTTACCATGCAAGGACCGCTTGAGCCGAGCCCACCCCCTCATCTGCACCAAGACCGGCGCCTCAACCTTCCTCCATAACAGAATGGTTCGCGTGATCCGCAAGACACTGCGTGAGTGCCATATGCCCATCGCCGTTGAGGATTCTTTCCCTTTTACCACAAGCACTGGTAGGGGAAAGGGGCTATACAAGATGGACTTGGTAATCTCCCCAGGATTGCACGCAGGAGAGAAGGAAGAGGAACTCTGCACCAAGTCCATTCTTATAGACGTAACATTCGTCAACCCATCCGCAGGTCGAAGCATCGACAAGTCGATGCAAAAGCCAGGATCCGCCCTCGAAGATCGAGCTGCAAGTAAGACAAATCACTATGCGGGAACTTTCAACCCGTCTAAATCTACCCTCCTTACCGCTGCTTTTCAACGAATGGTGGTCTTGGCAAAGGCACCAATCGACTCATCGTTGCTATCGCCAACCACTTGGCGCGCGAAGCTTTTTGCCGGGGGAATTTTGACGACGAAAGAGCGTAAGTCCGCCTGAAAGCTCTTCATACTTAAAGGATTCGGAGACGGTTTACCTTCGAGCTAGCTTATTTTCTGTCGACGCGAACTCGCGATGTGTTCAAAGGTCATGGGCTACTGATCGACCAACTTCNAATCTACCCTCCTTACCGCTGCTTTTCAACGAATGGTGGTCTTGGCAAAGGCACCAATCGACTCATCGTTGCTATCGCCAACCACTTGGCGCGCGAAGCTTTTTGCCGGGGGAATTTTGACGACGAAAGAGCGTAAGTCCGCCTGAAAGCTCTTCATACTTAAAGGATTCGGAGACGGTTTACCTTCGAGCTAGCTTATTTTCTGTCGACGCGAACTCGCGATGTGTTCAAAGGTCATGGGCTACTGATCGACCAACTTCCACCAGGGCCAATCGGTTGGGATCTCTGCGACAACGATAGTAATGTGGGTAATTCTTTTGGGAGTGACGGAGACGAAGGAAAGAGAAAGGGATTAAAGGAGGACGAAGACGACGATGGAGGAGGAAAACATGGAGGAGTGGAAGAGAGCAAAGGGTTTGAGCAAGATGACCTTCCCCAAAAGAAAAAACTTAGGGCTTGGGAAGAACTGCCCAGAGATTGTTGTCAAAATAAGGATCAGAATGATGGTAGCGAAAACAAGGAGGATAATGGTGAAAGTTCAGTTGGCGCCCGTAGTTCACAATATTTTGTTAAGAAATTGGGGCTCCCTTTTTCACGTAAAATAAGAAAATAGGGTGAAGAAACATAGCTCAATCTGGGTCACACAATAAGAAATGTCTCAAAAAGATAGGAAGGGAGCGGGGGGCGCAAAAGGGTGACAACCCCCAATGTTCGCCTCACGGAGCTTGCATCATAATGACGGGGTAGTTTTCGTTGTTGGGCACGTCAGCGTGCGGGTGAGGCATCATGCGGTGTTGATGCATTTGTTTAGTTTCAGCCCTCACTCATGAGGGGGGTACAGGACCTTGTAGCGATAGCGAGGCGTTGCCGCTGGATACATTTCGCTTCTAGGGAGTGGCCTTATGTGCAGCCGTCGGTAGTGAGAATCGGGGTTGAGTACGGAATCGGGGTTGAGTACGGGGGTCGAGGAAAGCAGTACAAATCATTTGTATACTTCGAACGTTGTGTAGTATGCAAGCAGAGAAATCATAAGAAATTGCCGATTTTAGAAATTCAGCAGGATTTGGCTGCACGAAAAAATGAGAAACTTGAAACAATTAACTCAACGACATACGCTGAGTTTATAGCCCACAATAAGACTTCGAGGCTGGACCTGAAATATAAGCGTTTCTTAACTGCGGGCGCCAACTNGTTGAGTACGGAATCGGGGTTGAGTACGGGGGTCGAGGAAAGCAGTACAAATCATTTGTATACTTCGAACGTTGTGTAGTATGCAAGCAGAGAAATCATAAGAAATTGCCGATTTTAGAAATTCAGCAGGATTTGGCTGCACGAAAAAATGAGAAACTTGAAACAATTAACTCAACGACATACGCTGAGTTTATAGCCCACAATAAGACTTCGAGGCTGGACCTGAAATATAAGCGTTTCTTAACTGCGGGCGCCAACTGTACTCCTAAACGAACTCTAGTACAAGGTAGTAGCCTTGGTAGACACGTGCAGTTTTCTTCTGTTGCTGCTGTTTCTGTCTTTGATCCGAAGGATAGTTTAGCCTCCCCCATGCTTCC